TTGTACATTAGAAGTGAACAGACTCATAACTAATTAAGTGATGAGGTTAATATGACTATCCTAGAATCGGCACACTGTATGTAGAATAATATTTTGTTCTAAACACGTGATGAGATTAATATGGCTAACACACTTAGAGTTGGTCTTATTCGGTTCTCTCTTGTGCCGTATATTGGCTAGTCGGACAACGTAGTTTTGTTCTGGATGTGTTGATGCAATGTAAAAGGCATCATCGTATCGGTGCCAGAATGGAGCTGAGAGAATATCCTTGATCAATGCCAAGTTTTCCAATGTGAAGGGATTGTATGAAAATCACGGCACGCTATTTCAATATTTTGGCAATCTTATTGGTGATCATTTAAAAATGCATGCATGTTACACCCACATGATTTATATTTTCTTATTTAGGGGTGGTTTGGGAGTGAGGTGCTTAAAAAAAAAGCACCCATGAAAAAAAGCTGTAAGGGTTTAGGTGTTTGGTAAACTAAAAAAAAGGGGGCTTATTTTGGAAGCTGCTGTGAGAATAAGCTGAAATCAAAGGAAAAAGCTTAAGCAGCTATTTGCAGCTTTGGAAAACTGGCTTTTTTCAAAGCACACGGAGCTACAGTGCTCCTTTAATGAAAAGACCCACTATCAGACTGCTTTTTTTTTTTCCAAAAGCACTTTTACAAAAAAGTTTACCAAACACTCTGCTGATTTATTTTACAGCCGCTTATTCTCACAACAGTTTTTTTTCAAAGCACAACAATACCAAAACAGCCCTCAATGAAACAAATCAAGTGTGAAAGCTTTTACTTCCTCAACATAACTTGGAAGGCTATTCAAAATTTCCATCAGATAATTGGTGCAAGTATTTATATATAGAGCTGCTTACAATATTTCAAATAATTCTTTTATTAATCGAGGTCGCAAAAAGTCACAAATATGGCCAACAGTGTGTCATACATTATGCACCAGAATGTCTTGTTTACACCCGTTTCAAACCTTAGCTAAAGAGCTTAACACAATCTGCCAAAATTACAGAAACGTTCTTGCATATAACCCAATATGCTAGCTGATAAGATCTTCGGTTTCTACCCATGCGGTCCAAGTTCAAAACCCCCCCCTCTCATAAGTTATTGTAATAGTTTTGAATCCTCCGTTTAATAAAATAAAAATCTGCCAAGATCACAGAAGAATCCCTCGTTGAGATTTTAATTAATTAATGGCTAATTTTAATTAGTTTAACCAACAAAAAATAAGGAAAAAATGAAAGAGACAGGAAAAAATCCCACAAATATGAAAGGAAAAACTTTTGTTTTTACAGAAAAGGTGAGCCGAAATATAACAATCATCATGCAACGGTTGCACACGTAAAAATGCATTGCTGTCGCCTCATAAATTTGGTAATTAAGATTAAAGCATATGATTAAGGCTGGATATTCGGCCCCTCAACCTGTCCATATTTCTGCCTATAAATACGGCTCATCACCTCCCTGTCATATACACTATCATCCTCTTCAAATTAACCAGTCTCAACTCAAGAGTCAAACGCCATAACCTATTGAGAGAAATTTAGAGAGAGAGAGAGAGAGAGTGAGTGAGAAAGATGAAGTCCAACCCCTCAACCTTGGTCAAGCTTTTACTGATAGGATGTCTTTCAGTTGTTTGCATTGCAGAAGATTTTGATTTCTTCTACTTTGTCCAGCAGGTTAGCAGGACATTCTATCTCATGTTACGTTGGATGAAATCGAACCCTTGACCTATGTGGTCGTTAGTTCTTACGATTATTTTGTAATGGTTGTGTGTGTGTGTTTTTTTTTTTTTTTTTTTTTTTTTTTTTTTTTTTTTTTTGGAGTAATGCAGTGGCCCGGATCATATTGTGACACAAAGACAAGTTGCTGCTATCCAACAACAGGGAAGCCTGCAGCTGATTTCGGCATTCATGGGCTTTGGCCGAATTACAACGACGGCTCATATCCCTCCAACTGCGATCCTAGCAACCCCTTTGATCAATCTGAGGTACCTAATTGCTAATTTGCTGTATTAATATAATCTTGAAAATGTCCATACGGACCTCATTTTATATTTTTTGGCATCAAAATTATCGATCTTCTAGTTCTTTCTACATGTTAAGGTCGGCCATATAATGCAAATCTGTTACATTTCGTCATTTTGGCATCAACTTCATCGATTCTTTCTTAAAAAATGTGTCAAAATGCACCTAACAGTATTAAAATTGTAAAGAAATGGTCGAGATCTCATTGGACAAAAATGCACTTGATCGATATATGAACAAGTCCTGCATAAAAGCATGGTGAAAGTTCACATTTTTGCTAATTGTGTATAATCATGTGTTTATCTCTCATCATGTGATTAGTTACTTAACGTGACCTGCCATGTTATGAGAACCATAAACACATAATTATATGTAACAAGTAACTCCACGTAATCTCGCTCAAACTTGGTTTTGTGGCGTGATGTTTGGTTTCAAATCTCACACCCCCTGCGCGCAACTGTGCAAGCAATGCCCCCATCGCCTGGAATGTGCCTTATAGCTCGTTTTATCTTTTATTCTATTTTTTTCATACTACTTTAATCTTCTGTTGTTTGACAAAATGAAGAATTTATAACTATTACAATATATAAATACACACACACACATATAGATCTTGATAATTAACGAACGTTATCAGCCTTTAGATGCCACCAAATGCTAATTATAATTATTTCAATCATGGAAAATGATGTCACAGATTTCAGATCTAAGAAGCAGCATGCAAAAAGAATGGCCAACACTAGCTTGCCCAAGCAGCAGCGGCATAGCGTTCTGGACACATGAATGGGAGAAACATGGCACCTGCTCAGAGTCTGTCATCGACCAACACGGTTACTTTGAAGCTGCTCTTAACCTCAAAAAGAAAATAAACCTCCTCCAAGCCCTCGAAAGTGCAGGTAACAATTGAATTAACAAACTAATCTGATTAAATTACCAATGCCTAATAGCTATTACACACGATTATTAGTTGCTAAAAGTTGTAGTCACCTCATATTGTGCCATTGATGTCAGTAACTATTGATGCTAATATCTTTCCGTGTTCATCGATCCAATTAAACACATATAATGTTATCACATATTTCAGGTATACAGCCAAATGGGGACTCATACACCCTACAGAACATCACGGGGGCAGTGAAAGATGCAACTGGATTCACTCCATTTATTGAATGCAATGTGGATGAATCTGGTAACAGCCAACTTTATCAGGTTTACTTGTGTGTGGACACTTCTGGTTCTGACCTCATTGAGTGTCCTGTTTTTCCCCATGGACAGTGTGGTGCACAGACTGAATTCCCAACTTTTTAGATATGTAGAAAGATGACTCGGATATCACAGCAGCATCAGCTTTGTCTAAAATTTCATGTATCCATCATTCACTAATCTTGAATTATAGATGTATTCCCGTTTTCAACCGTATATATGCATGAAATTATCTTATGATTTTCCTACGTATTCGTGGCGCTGATGCAAGTTCCTTTTCACAATGGAAAATTTTCAATAAAAGGGTCTTCATAATATGGCCAAGCATATACAGAGGGTTCGTTTGATGGTTGGGACTGGACATGGTGTCACGTTACCAAACGTGACATAAAATGTATGAGTCATATCTTAGCCACTAAACATAATTATAATTAGGGTTTTTATCACAAATGGTCCCTGAAATTGACCCACCCCATCAAGATGGTTCATGAAATTGAAAATCAATCAATGTAGTCCTTGAAATTGGGTGTTGCAAATCAATGTAGTCCTTCGGTCATAATTTTGTTAAAAATTCTGTTATGTGCTGATGTGGCAAATGACGTGGCACACTTTATATTAAAAAACTAAAAAAATATTATTTAAAATTAAAAAAAATCATTTAATATATAATTTTTTTCTTCTTGTTCTTTTTTCTCTTCTTCTTCTTCTTCGGGTTGCAGAGGGTGGGGGAAAAGGATTTTTTTTTTTTCTCTCTCTTCTTCTTCGGGTTGCAGGGGGTGGGCGAGAAGGGTTTATTTTTATTTTTTTCTTTTTTCTCTTCTTCTTCGTCGGGTGGCAGGGGCTGGGGGAGAAGGGGACGGGGTGGGTGGGGTGGGGTTTGACAAACATGGGTTTTTTTTTTTTTTTTTTTTTTTTTTTTTTAAATAATTAATTATTATTTTAACATTTAAAAAATATTAAATGATTTTTTTTTAGTTTTTAATAATATTTTATTAGTTTTTTAATATAAAGTGTGCCACGTCACTTGCCACATCAGCACATAACAGAAATTTTAACGGAGTTATGACGGAAGGACTACATTGATTTGCGACACCCAATTTCAGGGACTACATTGATTGATTTTCAATTTCAGACACCATCTTGATGGAGTAGGTTAATTTTAGGGACCATTTGTGATAAAAACCCTTAATTATGAAAAAAATTTGTCTACGACCGACGCATCCAACATTCATTATAAATATGTGATTAATGGTGGGTTTGAGTAACACAATATAAATGGAAGGGTGATTTGGTGCGTGGCATCTCATAGACACATGATCTGTCGGTTGGACACTAATTTTCCTCCACAAGCAGTATAAAAATCCAACACTTAGACACCATCTGATCTAGTATGGCTTGACACTAAATGGAATTCATTTGAAAATGTGTTACTCAGGTAGGTATAATACAAGCCCATATCTCCATTAGTCGTGTCCGTAAGCAAAAATGACTTACACGCAACACCGATAAGCCTGATCTAGCAAGGAAAAACCTGCAGCTAACTTCCTCTAAGATTGGCCTGGAAAGTAACTTGCTCGCCTTGCGCTCCATCTTATAAATTACTTAAAAGACTAATCCCCGGATGGCGGCTACCCCTCTAACTGTAATTCCGACAGCATATTCGACAAATCTCAGGTATATAATTATGTATATGACCACCAATGGTTTATTTAAACAAGAATCAACCTAATCAATGGTCTGTGTATGTAATAATCTAACAATGGTCCGTGTATATCACGAGAAAAGATCAATTGGTCTGTGCATGGAGTAATTTACATAAAATAAAAAAAATAAAAAATAAAAAAAATCTAGGAAATATATGAAGTGTTTTTACTGGTAAGAAGTTGTGTAAATATTCTGCTCAGATAATGAACATGTTCTTACTGGTAAGAAGCTGTGTAAATATTCAGCTCAGATATATGAAGTGTTTTTACTGGTAAGAAGTTGTGTAAATATTCTGCTCAGATAATGAACATGTTCTTACTGGTAAGAAGCTATGTAAATATTTAGCTCATATAATGAACATGTTCTTATCGGTAAGAAGCTGTGTAAATATTCAGCTCAGATATTAAACGTATTCTTACCGGCAAGAAGTTGTGCAAATAAAAGATCTGTGTCATGACTTGTCTTGACACAATAACCCTCACATCGTGGCACGCCAACACATCGTTGTTGGCATGCGATGACATGTCATGGCATGTATTTTGCCGACGTTTTGTGCACTAGGCATGACTTATCTTGACACGGTAACTCTCGAATCGTGGCACGCTAGAACATCGATGTTGGCCACGACATGACAATGTCACAAATTGGCGGCAGAATGCATGTCATGACACACCATGCATTCTCTCTATAAACCCTAATGCTCCACTTGGTTTCTCGGAAAATTTAGAAAATTGAAACTAAAAATCAGGAAAGGAGAGAAAGAGAGGCTTACGTGATCAGCGAGTGATAGAGCCGGTTTATCAAAGAAAATTCAAAGGAGAATTTCGAAAGCGAATGATGTCATCAAGGTAAAGCTGAGGAAGGTAAACCACACACCCAAAACATCGTTGTTTGCATGCGATGACATGTCTTGGCATGCATTTTGCCGACGTTTTACGCACTTGGAATGGCTTATCATGGCTTGTCTTGACACTGCAACCCTCGCATCGTGGCATGCCAAGACATCGCATTAGATCCCAAAAACTGTTGAGCAGTCTTAACAAGAATGGGAAAAGCACGGGACTTGCTCCGAGTCCGAGCTCGATCAGAAAAATTACTTTGAAGCAGCCCTCAAACTCAGAGTAAAAGTAACCTTCTACAAATCCTGAAAAAAGCTGGTAATTAATTAACTAACTAATTTCAAAACATTAGAATGTATAGAGTTTGAATCTAAAGTTTGGGCTGACCAGAGACCGCTTCCAAAAAAATCTCGTAATATTACTCAACACTTACGAACTCAAATGATGAACTTTACAGCTTAGAGAGCACAGCGGAAGCTATAAAAGAAGGTGCTGGGCACAGCCCAAGTTTATTTGTGCGTCGACACTTCCGGCCAAGACATCATTGAGTGTCCTCTCCTTCCAAGGGGACGATGTGCTTCCAAAGTTCAGTTCCCTAAATTTTGATTAAAGCGTTGTTGTAATTCTTTCAGGCTAATCTTTTACTTTGTAATTTGTTACTTGTATGTATCTTTTCTGTTAATTTGGCTGCTGCTGTTGCTTTGAGCTAGCTAGGCACTCACTTCATAAATTTTCACGAGAAAAATACCGGCTACTTTCCATTTTCTACTTTATTATTCAGTTTCGTCTCATACTTAAGAAAATCACTTAATCGAATATCGTTTAGCAATCTAACAATTATGAAATTTGGAAAAGTCATAAATTGGAGTGATGCATGGTTCATATATGATATAACTGATTTCATCCTTAATTGGGCCTTTTACCCGTTTTGGACCTCGCAACTTCATAATAGGCCGAAGGGGTGTGATATCCACACAACTCATTCTACTTCTCACACACCTTTTTAATTTTCGGCCGTCGGATCTGATGAATTAAAGAAGATCAACGGACAAAAATTATCAAGGAATGTGTGAGAAGTAAAATGAGGTGTGTGGATAGTACACCCTTAGGCCGAATTGCATGTCGACGCTCCAAAGTCCGAAACCGCCTTGACTTACCTAGCCCATCTCTCTCAAATATGGCCCAATAACGCCTCCAAGTATTATCTCTGTGAAATTGTTTCATTTTATCATGAATTACCAAGCTTCGTGAGTTGATGGATTCTTTTAGTTTTTCTTAAATGAAAGCATAATCAACTAAATTTATTCAAGAGCCGTTTCATAATCATTTCGTTTTCAGTTTTTCAATTTTTACTTCTACTTTTTTGAAAACTAAAATCTTCTATGGTAACTAGTTTCAGTTTTCAAAAATTGAAAATTACTTTCTTTCTTCTTCTTCTTTTTCAAAATTCGACCTTAGGTTTTTTTTTTTTTTAGTTTTCATATTTTAGAAAACTAAAAACTGAAAATAGTTGTTAAACAAGATTTCAGTTTTCAAAAAGAAAAAAACTGAAAATAAAATAGTTATCAAATGACCTCTAAAGTACACAAAAGTTATTACTCATTAGCATAGAGGTGCAACTCAAGCGGGTTGGATGGGTTGGAAAGTCAACCCAATCCTAACCCAACTTTTACAATTTGGGATTGGGTTCATCCGGGCTCAAGTTTAATTGGGTTTGGGTTGCTCAACTTTTTCAAGTTTTAATCGGGTTCATGCGAAGTTTGAATTAAAATACAAGAAATACCAAAGCTAGTACCCAACTCAAGTCTTGTCCTTCGAAGCTCCTGCAGAAAAACAAAGCTAGTACCCAACCAGACATAGATTACAAGCCTTATTCGAGCAAAAATCAAAGTGCGGCTGCCAGAAAAACAATTGCTTATTGCAACTCCATGCACTTTTCTATCATAATCCATTAAAAGTCACTAGTGAATCCTCCACGAAGGTGCAAAGGTCATTGAGAAGCATGTTGCACAGCTCAACCCAATCAATGAACGGGTTGAAATTTTGGGGGGGGGGGGTTTCGGGCGGGTTATAACTAAAAAAAAAACTTAAAGTTGGGTTGAACATGGGAAGGTTCAGGTTGGCCCCAGCCCAAGTTGCAACCCTACGTTAGCATTAAGAAGAAAGGTCAAAAGACCAAAATAAGGGTGCAAGTGATGGATTTTCGTGATGAGCGGACTCTATCTCTTCAACCTATTGCATCTTGCATTTAAACATTTCTTTTTCCTTTATTCTAAAAAGTAAATTGTAGCAATGATCCCTTAATTTTAATCAAATTGGAGCAATGATCTCTCAACTAAAAATCCATTACCATTGATCCCTCAACTTAACAAAATATGTAGCTATAGTCATTTTCATCAATTTCGTCAAAATTTTGTCAAAATAAGTTATGTTGGAATAACCATTTATATAATTAGGGTCCCTCAACTCATCGAAGTGTGTAATTATGGTCCTTTTCGTCAACTACGTCAAATTTTTTGTCAAATCGAGTTATGTTGGAAAGACCATTGCTACACTTGGGTTAAAGTTAAGGGATCATTTCTCCAATTGAATTAAAGTTGAGATGCCAACGGTAATAGATTTTTAGTTGAAGGACCATAGCTCCAATTCTTTAATGAAATTCTGTGGCTGAGATTAAATCACAAGCCACAGAATCTCAACCACAAAATTTCATTCAAGCTAAATTTAACAGTCAAGAGGATGTCCTTATTTATTTATTTTTAAATAGAAATCCATTCCTTTAAAGGTTTTCATTTTTAAATACAACTAGTCAGTACTCAAATATTATTCAAAAACAAAAAAAGAAAGCATTAAAACATTAAGCGCTGACATATGGCAAATTATAAATAATTTGAGTAACAATTGTTTACTGGATCCCTACATTTTTCAATAGAGATCTGTTTCTTCGTCCCTACACGTGCCTGAGCTGTTCTATTTTATTTTCAGTAGGCTGTCCTATTCCAAATTTAATCCCCCGAAAAACGTTATTTAATAAGGAGAACACTCGCTGCTGCTTACCCTCAATTCCAGTTGGACACGTATCTTAGTTTTGATTAAAATAATTAAAATTCAGATATGAGTCCAGTCAAAATTAGGTATAAACCGTAGCCGCTGCTGAATTTACCGCAGTCAAGTCTAGTTCATTTATTAATTCTTTTTTTTATTATTAAATTTACATTCACCTTCACCGTAAGATTTGGCAAACTGTCGGTCGTACAACAAAAAAAAAAAAAAACCTGTCGGTCGTGCATGGTACCGCTTTACTAAATGTTTTCATTATATGCAAAACATGGCATTAATCAACGTCCAAAGCTTAATGATGCTATGTTTACCTTAATTAACAACCATAAACAAAATAAATACGAATAATACTTGACTACTTAAAAATGAGTTGAAACTCCTACTTAAAACTTTTAGTGTTTTAATCACATAATTTTGTGTTTATGATCAGAACCTTTCATATTATGAATCACAATCATCTCTGCAAAAAATAAATTAAAACTAAGGAAAATTAATGTAAAGGGCTTGAAAACTTTGAGTTTTAATGATAATGGAAAAATAAAGGGTAAAGTGAATAGTACAAGGATTAACTTTTTAGTGTAAAAATGTGGTTTTTCATTAAAGTGAACAGGACCGGGAGCTTTTCGTTAAAGTTCCCTTAAAACTAAGGTCATTTAGTCAATTTATTATAGCAAATACATAGACGGTTCGTAATACTTTTACAAATATCATTCATTTGTTTTTAAATAGTTTTATGACTAAACAATCTTAGTTTTAATTTATTTTTTGCAGAGACGATCTTTATAAGGTGAATTATAATATGAACGGTTCTAACTATAAACATGAAGTTCTATAAATTAACAATGAACCATTTTAAAATTTTTGGAATATGAATTCATATTCATCTTTGAGTAGTCAAGTATTGTTCAGTAAATGAAAGGGAAGCTTAGTGATGTTGATTTGGTCATTATTCCACCTTTGGCAAAGTCGCTTGTTGAGTTGTCCCTAGCTAAAGCCTGCCCCTATGGCCACCCTTGTTGAAAGTTGCATTTCACCCGCAAACTACGGACCGCTAAATAGTACTAAAGTCTTACACAGTAGACTAAAAAAAGCGATTGTGAGATGTATTGTACTTATATAGGAATTATTTTTAAAGAATTTTAACGAAAAACTCTCAATATTATTTATTTTAACGAAAAATTATATTTTTATATAAAAAAGTTAATTATGGTACTATTTATTTTACCTTTATTTTATCTTTATCGTTAAAACTCAAAATTTTCAAACTATTTTTATTAGTTTATGGGTAAAAAATTTACTAAAACAGTTATACCAACATGTAATATTACAAAATAATTTTTTGTCTAAGACTACATAATTAGTTGGATGGTTAGATATTTCCATAAAGAAATGAGAGGATCATTACATTAGGTAATATTTGAGCTCATATAAGTACAAAAACAATAACTTCACCTTATGACATCTTGACTAGCTAAATGGTTATACACTTTCACAAAGAACAAGAGTCGTCATATTTAGGTATCATCCAATTCCAATCCATATGAATCAAACGTTCAATCCTCACAAACACATCCTTTGTGATCGTGGCATGAAAAATTGACGTACCAAAGTTTTCCTTGTACAATACTAATCAACAAGGTGTGATGTGATAGACGATATGGTTGTATGTCATGAATCCATGATACAATATCGATCTATACATGCACATAGCATGAGCGAATGTATAAGAATATTAGCCTCTTGCCACACGCGTATGCGTGTGGCAATTGACATTTTAAATTTTTTTTATTTAAATAATTAATTTACATATTTAAAAAAATATATTTTAAGAAAAAAAGAAATGAATTAATAACGTGGGAGGTTTTGTTTTTGTTTTCTGTAATTTTAAATATTAAATTAATTCAAAATAAAAATATGGTTAAATACTTTAGCTTTTTTGGTTCAATTGTAATTTATGAAATTCTTAAAAGATAATTTATGGTATTTTAAATGTTTCGTCATTTTAGATGCTCACTTTATATATATAAATAGATTACGGGATATTGTGACTATTACACTGAAAATTCTCGGAATTATGGGTCAAGTTGAAGGACAAAACCGTCCATGTACCTTTGAGCACTACCCACACTCTTTAACTATATCGGCAGTCGGCCCCCGCCTGCAATTTCAAGGCGCAAGCAAACACACCCTTGGTAACGTACGGACCGCCTTTCGATGTTTATGAGGCGGGCCTCTTTGCGGGTCCCATCCCAGAAGGACTCATCACTTCACCATGATTTCTATCGATCCATTTGAGCTGTTACTGACTTTATTTTTTATTTTTTAATAAACGATATTATCTATATTAAAAAAAAAATGTCGAGTTTAGTCTCACAATAGATTGTCAATAATATGGTTTAATTTGTGAGAATCAAACTTAAAATTTTTCACTTACAAATGAAAAAATAATATCACTAAATTGTAGTACTAAGTAACGTCCTTACCATATAAATGGACAAAACTCTGTGAAATTATTATAAAATAAAATAAAATTTCATACAGCATGGGGCCGGCCACTGACAGAGCGCCACGTAGTTAGGGAGATTAAAACGACCGCCAACGCGCAAATTATCGTTGTCCGGTCGGTTTTTCCCGGTCAATATTCAATAATTTCGTCAACGGCTGGACGGGACATTTTAGGGAAATCATTTCTCAATTTTTCTTTTTTGGTAAAAACCAAAAAGCTTTCTTCAATTAATACCACCTTCTCACTCAGACCGGATGAACATGTTGCTAAAATATTTTGGTTTTTTTTTTTTGTCAAATAATGAATTTTGTTAGATTAATCATCGACGAGATTTGAATTCACACCGTCATATAAAGGCTCAACACTTTTTCATTACTGTGATAAAGAGCTACCTGCCTAAATTATTTTGGTTCAAATAATTTAGTTTTTGACATAACCACAAGAGATGCTAGAGAGAGACTTTTTTTAAGAACGAATTTTGTAGAAAACATAAAGTAGCAATTTATGGTTGGATTTTTTTCTAAATCATTAAGAAAATAATCTAATCATCAAACGCCGCATCATGTAGTTTACAAAATATAGTTTACAAAAATAGTCTTCCTAGCATTTTCCTAACTATAATTTGTTTGCCTCACATGCAAATAGTAAGTTTGTAAAAGAAATTCATAAATATGAAACTGGTCTTGAGAAATTTTTTTAATGTAACTAACACATTGTAACGAACATGTATTATAATTCAGATGGATGATATAATTGATATTTTATGGATCTAATGTTTTTATTTATTAATAAATAAATATACAAGTGGTGAATTGCTCTAGTGGTAAAACATTTCTTCTTTGACTCATTGTGCTTGAGTTCATACTCTCCCTTCCCCTTATTTATAATTTAGAAGAATATATTATCTTGTCGTTTGTCAAAAATTTAATGGAGAAACGTATGATAACATAAGTTGATTAATAAATCACATAACAATATAACGGTTTCACCCAAAAAAAAATTACTGATATTGTTGGTCGAAATTGACATCTTAACCTTTTAGGTATTATGTTAATGACGTGGCAATTACGAAGATATCAGTAATATTACTTGCAGTCCAAATAAATATCACCTGTTAAATAAGAGTACAAGCAAAGAAAACTCTATTTAGGTAATTAACTTTGTCCCAAAGGAAAATCGTTCATTTACTTTTGACTGAAAAAAAGAAAATAAAAAGTTGAACTGCAAATCACTATGTCTCAATTCTTAAATAATTTTAATTATGCATTAACTACAAATAATTATTATTAATCTTGCTGCCATCAATTCATGCGGGTGCATTATCGGTAAATGTCTACTTAAATTTTACTAGTAACAACTGACAGTTAGGTGTTACGAGTAAGTACTTTCGGCTTGACTTTGATGAAAGTAGTTAATCTCTTCCTAAACATTATGTTACAAATATAAATATTGTTATTAATTTTCCTAATCAATCGATTAAAGTGATGTTAAATTAAAGTAAAAATGATCGAACCAAGACGTTTAAAGGGGACGAAATAATCAACAGTTTATAAAGACCAAAACAGTTTCTTCTTTATGGTTTCCCACCGTTAAGGCGTAGACGCGAAGTTTTTCAAACGACAACGATCCATCACCCCCTGCACTTTCTCTCCCATTTCCAATTTTCTCGGTGAATTTTCTCTCACTTTCCGGCATTCTTCCCAAACAGAAAGTTTCCGCTTCGGCTTCGGCTTCTTCTCCTCACGAGGTAACTTTGAACCTTTGTCCTTATTAGTCATATCGCTAATTTTAAGTCCTCTGTTTTTCTCTCTTTATAATTTTCTTCTTGTACTGTAGCTTGCATTTTGATCTTCTTCGGCTGCTTCCGCGTTCGGATCTGCCAATCCAGTCCAGTCCAGTCCAGTAGCTTGCTTCTTGATTCAATCGATTCGAGAACTGTTTGGTTGCCGGGAAAGTTGACTATTCAACCAGAATCGAGCTTAGCATTTGTATTTGCCGTTTCTAGTCACAAGACGATCGGAGGTATTGAATTTTTCACTCTAGAACTTCGATGATTTATAATTTCGAAATTTAATATTGTTTATTTTGCTCAGAGTAGATTTGTATGAGTTCAAGAAAAAGAAGATTGATTTTCTTACTCTTATTTTAATTAATTTTTGCTTTCTGGAAAATTCTACTGTAAATTACGCTTCGAATGAGTTGAAGAAGAAAATGTTGTATAAATTAAGCATGTATAATTATAATTATTCGACCGACAAATCTAATTCACTTACTTTCCCGTAATTTTGTATGAATTTATTATTAATTAACTGTGAGTTTGTAGATTTCAATTTTTCATTATGGTCCGTGAACTTTTAGTTATTGCAGAATCGTCCTGGTTTCCTACTTCTGTACGCCATAGTTGAGTAAAATATAGCATTGCGGCTTCTCATCTGGTGAAGGGGAAAACATAATAATAATAATAATAATAATAATATCGTAAACTATTGGTAGGGATTTGACTTGACTAATTGGTCAGTGGAAATTTATGCAAGGAATTAACTGCTACTGGTTGTATTTTGTTGAAAAGTCTTAAATGTTACAAGTTCTTTTTTTTTAATGGAAGTTTTCATCTTCGTTAGAGCAAGTCTCTGGTGTTTCTGGAAATAGCCTGGGAAGCAAAGTGGATTTTGATTCCAGATAATATGCGATCGAAACGATTGAAGTTGGACCTTGAGAATTATATGTATGTATGGCATTGCTTGTTGGTTATTCGTTTTCGTCGGATTTTTCAGTTGCTCTTTTGTTTCAGTAGATGTTCTCACTATTTAGACAGGTATAACATGGCTCACTGACCTTTTCAATAGGATTTTGAAAACGAAGAAGATGCCAAATGAGTGGCGAACGAGCACTTTGGTGCCTATCTACAAGAATAAGGGCGACGTACAAAATTGCATGAACTATAGGGGTATTAAGCTAATGAGTCATACAATGAAGCTCTGGGAGAGAGTCATTGAGCATAAATTGAGGCAAGAGACACGGGTTTCGGACAACCAATTCGGGTTCATGCCAGGGCGCTCAACCATGGAGGCAATCTATCTCTTACGAAGATTGATGGAAAGATATAGAGATGGGAAAAAGGATTTACACATGGTCTTTATAGATTTGGAAAAAGCGTATGATAGGGTCCCAAGAGACATTCTTTGGAGGATTTTAGAGAAGAAAGGAGTACGAGTAGCATATATCCAAGCTATAAAGGATATGTATGAAGGAGCAAAGACTGCCGTAAGAACTCATGAAGGACAAACCGAAAGCTTTCCCATAACTGTAGGATTACATCAAGGCTCATCCTTAAGTCCTTACCTTTTTGCGTTGGTAATGGATGAGTTAACAGGACATATTCAAGATGATATTCCTTGGTGTATGCTTTTCGCAGACGATATAGTGTTGATAGATGAAACTCAGGAAGGGGTAAATGCAAAGCTTAACCTTTGGAGAGAAGTGTTGGAATCTAAAGGTCTTCGCCTAAGCCGATCAAAGACAGAATATATGGAGTGCAAGTTCAGTGCAAATGGAGGCCAAAACGAGTTAGGGGTGAGGATCGGAGATCAAGAAATACCAAAGAGCGACCGTTTTCGTTACCTAGGATCTATCTTGCAAAAGAACGGAGAATTAGATGGAGATCTCAACCATAGAATACAAGCTGGATGGATGAAGTGGAAGAGTGCATCCGGCGTGTTGTGTGACCGCCGTATGCCACTGAAGCTCAAGGGAAAATTTTATAGGACGGCAATAAGGCCGGCGATGCTGTATGGCACAGAATGTTGGGCGGTGAAACATCAACACGTACACAAAATGGGTGTAGCGGAGATGAGGATGCTTCGTTGGATGTGTGGGCACACGAGAAAGGATAAGATTAGGAATGAGGATATTCGGGGTAAAGTAGGAGTAGCCGAAATTGAAGGAAAGATGAGAGAAAATCGGTTACGGTGGTTTGGACATGTGCAAAGAAGGCCTACTGACGCTCCGATTAGAAGATGCGACTATGGGACAGAGGTTCAGGGCCGAAGGGGTAGAGGAAGACCTAGGAAAACTTTGGAAGAGACTATAAGAAAAGACTTAGAGTACTTGGATCTAACGAAGGACATGACACAGGATTGAGCACAATGGCGTTCTAAGATTCATATAGCCGATCCCACTCAGTGACTTGGATTTTCCAAGTCTCCAACCAAGAAGTTTTCCTCACTCGGGAAATTAAGGGAACACTACCCCAACCTACATGCTCCACTCAGAAAGCTTCAACATACAAGCTTCAACAAAAGAAAATTCAAAGAACTTAGCGAAGAAGGCTTTGGTGTATTTAACACAATACGTTGAAATGAAGGAAAGCTTATTTATTGATATCCCCGATAAGCTACAAATATGTACATATACATGAGTCAAAATAAACACACAAGAGGGAGCCTTCACAAAGGTTGCTTAGGAGAAGTCTCAGCAGTCGGTAGAGCCCCAGAAAGAGAAGGCACCGGAGGGGGATCATTTGGAGCCTCAGTACTGGACAGAACCCTAGAAGGAGGAGGCATCAGAGGTTGATCATTTGGAGCTTCATTACGCGGTACAGCCCCAGAAGACGAAGGCAATAAATGCCTTTGGAACAAACCCACAAATCTCTGATGATCAAGTAAAACCTGACCATCAGTTTCCTTCATCTGGTCAAGCTTCCTCTTCATGTTTGTAGCATAGTCATGTGCGAGCCGGTGCAACTGTTTATTCTCATGCTTGAGCCCTCTAATCTCCTGTTTGAGACTCATCACTTCAGCCGCCAATGATTCAACTTGGCGGGTTCGAGCAAATAGGCGTTGGGCCATATTAGACACAGAACCTGCACACTGAACACTGAGAGCCAGCGAATCCTTAACAGCTAACTCATCAGACCGTTTGGAAAGTAGTCTGTTATCTTTGGGAGTGAGAAGGTTCCTGGCCACCACCGCAGCGGTCATATCATTCTTCATCACGGAATCCCCAACGGTAAGAGGACCAGTTGGGGAGACGAAGGATGGGCGCCATATGTTGTCTGGAGAAGGCAGGGCTGCCTCTTCAACAAGGTTCAAGTCAAAACGACGGTCGGAGGGGCCAGACATTTTCAAAGGTGTGTTGAAGAGAGAAGAGGTCGGACAAATCAAGATCTTAGAAGTGCAAGAATGAAGCTTCTACTGGTGGAGATTCAAGTGTGCTTTGGAACTTAATGCCAGCCCCTATAAAAATCTGCACTCGACGGAGCTTCAGAAATCAAAGAGGCGCCTGCTCAGAAATCGAAGAGACGTTTGCTTTCTCAAAAGTTGGGCTGCTTAGAGATCACGAGGGTTGATCTCAGAAATCGAAGAGCCGTTTGCTTTCTCAAAAGTTGGGCTGCTCAAAGACCACGAAGGCCGATCTCAGAAATCGAAGAGGCGCTCGCTTTCTCAAAAGCTGGGCTCCCTAGAGACCACGAGGGCCGATCTCAGAAATCGAAGAGACACCTACTTTTCCAGCCTTGTCAGCACCTGTCACACGCACACTCAGCTTTGCGGAAATTATGGGTATTCTGTCAAAGACTTCTGGGGAAGTAGAAAACACATGAATCTTACTGTTCAATCACCCACTTCCCACACACAACAATAGCTCATGGGTATCACAGATAACTTTGCCAAAGTTCTCTGCCAAAGTTGAGCACGTGAAGCTTGCAGCTCCCACTACATCGCTTTGACCAAGAAGGGTAAAAGAATAGCAAAGAAACAGCACCAACAAAGTTTAGACCCATAAATTTTGAAGGTCTAGCTACCATATTATTACCCACAAGGGTAAAGGAACAGTACCACTGCTGGATAATTGGAAAGTCCATGTATGTCAACCTCTGTGCTTCGTGGCAAGGTAGACTAGCAAACATGCCCAACCTTTACTCACATTCGAGAAAACACTCCCAATAAGATTGTTTGCTCCAAAATCGAAGAGGCACCGTCCTCCGAATCTAAAGAGCCAGACTCCCAACATGACTACTTTCATAAAAATCGAAGAGAGGGTAAAGGAACAGTACCATTGCTGGATAATTGGAAAGTCCCTGTGTGTCAACCTCTGTGCTTCGTGGCAAGGTAGACTAGCAAACATGCCCAACCTTTACTCACATTTGAGAAAACACTCCCAACAAGATTGCTTGCTCCAAAATCGAAGAGGCACCGCCCTCCGAATCTCGAGAGCCACTCTCCCAACTTGATTATTTTCTCAAAAATCGAAGAGACACTGCTCCCCGAATCTCGAGAGCCAGACCCCCAGCATGATTGCTTTCTCAAAAATCGGTGAGGCACCGTTCTCCGAATCAATCGAAGAGGCGCTCGCTTTCTCAAAAGCTGGGCTGCTCAGAGACCACGAGGGCCGATCTCAGAAATCGAAGAGGCACCTACTTTTCTAGCCTTGTCAGCACCTGTCACACGCACACTCAGCTTTGCAGAAATTATGGGCATTCTGTCGAAGACTTCTGGTGAAGTAGAAAGCACATGAATCTTACTGTTCAATCACCCACTTCCCACACGCAACAATAACTCATGGGTACCACAGATCACTTTGCCAAAGTTCTCTGCCAAAGTTGAGCACGTGAAGCTTGCAGCTCCCACTACATCGCTCTGACCAAGAAAGGTAAAAAGAATAGCAAAGAAACAGCACTAACAAAGTTTTAGACACATAAATTTTGAAGGTCTAGCTACCATATTATTACCCACAAGGGTAAAGGAACAGTACCACTGCTGGATAATTGGAAAGTCCCTGTGTGTCAACCTCTGTGCTTCGTGGCAAGGTAGACTAGCAAACATGCCCAACCTTTACTCACATTCGAGAAAACAGTCCCAACAAGATTGCTTGCTCCAAAATCGAAGAGGCACCGTCCTCCGAATCTCGAGAGCCAGACTCCCAACATGACTACGTTCTCAAAATCGAAGAGAGGGTAAAGGAACAGTACCATTGCTGGATAATTGGAAAGTCCCTGTGTGTCAACCTTTGTGCTTCGTGGCAAGGTAGACTAGCAAACATGTCCAACCTTTACTCACATTCGAGACAACACTCCCAACAAGATTGCTTGCTCCAAAATCGAAGAGGCACCGCCCTCCGAATCTCGAGAGCCAGACTCCCAACATGATTACTTCCTCAAAAATCGAAGAGACACTGCTCTCCGAATCTCGAGAGTCAGACCCCCAGCATGATTGCTTTCTCAAAAATCGAAGAGGCATCGTTCTCCGAAATCTCGAGAGCCAGATACCACAGACCACTTTTTCAAAGTGCTCTGACAAAGTTAAAACATGTGAAACTGGCAGCTCCCACTACCGTGCTATGACCAAGCAGGGTAAAGGAATAGCATTACTACTTGTTGTTAGGGAGACTCCTATATATGTCGACCTCCATCCCCAACGGACAGGCAGACCTGCAAAAATGCTCAACCCTTCATCATATCTGAGAGGGCACTCCCAACAAAGCCTTTCGAAATATTCAGCTTTCTTTCCCCCCGATAATACCTCTGCAAACAAGCTATACTAGAGCAAGAATATCTCATATCATCAGGGTTAAAAAGCAAGAGTATCCCCATATCATGCTTTTTCCCTGTTTTTTTTTTTTTGGCCTTGTTTTTACCTGCAAGACAAGGAGAAAGAGAGCAATCAGTCAGCACTTGGAATCAAGCTTCCAGCCAGGAACTGACTGCCTGGAACCCCTTACCTGATTACTTACCTGGCATTGCTCTCTCGAGTACTCATCTTCAACATCTTATGTTTCCAGGGAAGATTCCGCATCTGCTTGAGGAACAGATAGGGCAAGTGCGAAGGATACAAGGAAGCATGTGGAGACAAGCGTAACAGCACACGTGCCGATACATCCATTACTCTGTCAAAAGAAAAAGTATCCCATATCAGCAGGGTGGAACGTACTCTAGATTTGATGGACTTGTTTTGACCCTCAAATTCTTCAGTCAGCCTTATACTCTGGAGGAAACCAGAAAACCCTTCAGCTCAGTTCAAGAATAAGCCTGTGGAAAGTTACTTCTTCAAAAGCAAAAGTATCTCATATCATCTCTTCTCATTTTTCTTCTCTTTTATCCTTCATGCTGCTGCAAGATGGGGAGAAGGTGAACAATCAGTCGGAGCTCTGATTGCTTTACCTTGTCTGTCACCTCTTTCAGCAGACCCCCTAGCTCGGCGACTTGGGGGACTCCTACTACATGGTTTGTATCGCGCTTGACCAAGCCTGAAACTACAAGTAAGCTTCAAGTGAAATTGATACATTACCTTGTGCATCTCCACCAGTTAAAGATACCACCCCTGGATGGAGGAAGAGTACTTCCAGAGAAGATGCCACATCTACCTATGAGACAGATAAGGCAAGTCAAGACGACACCACACTCCGATACTTAGAAGTTTCGTGATTACGAGATCATTCTCCCACAATATTTCCTAATGTCATTTGTACTAAATCATTCACTCGTACTCACTAAAGGAGAGCTTGAACCTATGTACTTGTGTAAACCCTTCACAATTAATGAGAACTCTTCTATTCCGTGGACGTAGCCAATCTGGGTGAACCACGTACATCTTGTGTTTGCTTTCCTATCTCTATCCATTTATATACTTATCCACACTAATGACCGGAGCAATCTAGCGAAGATCACAAAAAGCGACCGTTTTCGTTACCTAGGATCTATCTTGCAAGAGAACGGAGAATTAGATGGAGATCTCAACCATAGAATACGAGCTGGATGGAAAGAGTGCATCCGGCGTGTTGTGTGACCGTCGTAGGCCACTGAAGCTCAAGGGAAAATTTTATAGGACGGCAATAAGGCCAGCGATGTTGTATGGCAGAGAATGTTGGGTGGTGAAGCATCAACACGTACACAAAATGGGTGTAGCGGAGATGAGGATGCTTCGTGGGATGTGTGGGCACACGAGAAAGGATAAGATTGGGAATGAGGATATCCGAGGTAAAGTAGGAGTAGCCGAAATTGTAGGAAAGATGAGAGAAAATCGGCTCTGGTGATTTGGACATGTGCAAAGAAGGCCGACTGACGCTCCGGTTCGAAGATGTGACTACGGGACAGAGGTTCAGGGCCGAAGGGGTAGAGGAAGACCTAGGAAAACTTTGGAAGAGACTCTAAGAAAAGACTTAGAGTACTTGGATCTAACGGAGGACATGACACAAAACCGAGCGCAATGGCGTTCTAGGATTCATATAGCCGACCCCACTTAGTGGGAAAAGGCTTTGTTGTTGTTGTTGTTGTAGATGTTCTCACTATTTAATGTAAGATGAATCTATAATTTGTTTTTTTTGTATGGAACCATCTGCGCTTTCTTATCATTTAAGTTTTTTTTAGTGTTTTTTTTTGCTATTGAACATTGAATGAATCTTTTGTTTACATGAATCTGCACTCACAAACGTCATCGTTTGGCTTATGATTCACAAGCAGATTTTTGTGAGTTTTTGTAGACTTATTGATTTGGGTTTGGTTCAGTGTGGTAGTGTCTCTGGAGGATAAATTTGTTGGCAGAACCATAGTTGGTTTCTCTTTGGATGGCAGTGGGAAAAGGAAGATGTGAAACGTTTACTTGACACTTGACAGAAGTAGAGATCCTTCCACGTATACATCTTGTGACCTGTTTATCTCTTACTGAAGATCCTTAGCTATTTGCGTTTGGCAGATCATTCTTCTCTCTCTGTATAAGCACCTGGTCTCTTTGGATTTTCCTGCGAGGGGTTGACGTTTATTGATTCATGCACGTGATTACCAAATGGTGTTAATTGGGCTTCATGATGAGCAATAACTTGGGAAATTGGGCTCAGAGCTGTTGATTAAATTTTGTAATCACCAGAATGAAGAAATCGTATGGCATTATTGTGGCTGCATGTCTATTCATGATGCTAGTTTTGAGATATGGCATCTTAAACTATCCCGCTGGGGATAGTTTCTTAAGCAATGCACTCTACATCAATACTAGTAATCCTCTTGAATGGTTAAATACTACTCTACCTGCAGTTCAGAATCGAGAGAATGCTTCTGAAGTGATTTCTGCCGAGATTATAGTCTTTAGCCTCTTTGCTCAGAGGAATGTATCCAATGAAGAGCAGCAAACGATGCAGACGTGGAACCTTTTGAAACACCTGATTAATCAAACTCGGGGTTTGCCTAATGCGGTGGATGCTATAAGGGAAGCTGGAGTTGCATGGAATAGTCTTATGGCTTCGGTTGAAGAGCAAAGACTTGGTTATACAAACGAAAGTTCACCTGGGAAAACAAAAGAAAAACAGTGTCCTCATTTTCTTAATAAAATGAACGGGACAGGAGTCGACAATAGTGTTTCTAAGTTGCGGGTCCCTTGTGGCCTAACCCAAGGTTCTTCAATTACAGTTATTGGCATTCCGAATGGACTTCTTGGAAATTTTCGAATTGAATTAATGGGCGAGCCTCTTCCGGGGGAGCCCGATCCACCTGTAATATTGCATTATAATGTTAGGCTAAGCGGTGATAAGGTAACTGAGGACCCTGTAATTGTCCAGAACACCTGGACTGTTGCTCATGATTGGGGTGAAGAAGAGCGTTGCCCATCTCCAACTCCTGAAAAGAACAATAAGGGTAACTTACCTGTCTCTTCTATTAGTCAATTATATCAAAGATTTAGTATATAACTTGGTATATTAACATGTTACAGTTGATCACTTATTCGGCATTGTTCTATAAGTCCTATTTATACTTACCGTTACTTTGCCTTGAAAATTTTAATTGTTGCCAGTGGATGAGTTGGACCAGTGCAACAAGATAGTCGGAAAAACTGAAGAGCAGAGAATACGTTCCAATGTTTCAAGGCAGGCTTCAACTGCACAAGATGGATCAAAGTCCAGAAGATACTTTCCATTTAAGCAAGGTTATCCATTTGTTGCTACACTTAGAGTGGGTTCAGAAGGAATCCAAATGACCGTTGATGGGAAGCATCTAACGTCTTTTGCATTCCGCGAAGTAAGTTCTTCAAATTTAATTCTTCGTGTTGCTTTTGGAAGTAGATGATAAACACTTGTCCCTGTGAATTCATATGCTGTTTTCATGGTTTTTTGTTCAGACATTGGAGCCATGGCTTGTCAGTGAATTAAGGATATCTGGAGACTTGAAATTAATTTCTGTCCTAGCCAGCGGTTTACCCACGTCAGAGGATTCAGAGCACATAATTAATTTACAAGAACTCAAATCTGCTCCTCTCTCGCCTCACAAACAAATGGATCTCTTTATTGGTGTTTTCTCTACCGCAAACAATTTTAAACGACGGATGGCTGTTCGAAGAACATGGATGCAGTATGCTGCTGTACGATCAGGGGCAGTTTCAGTGCGCTTTTTTGTTGGTTTGGTGAGCTCACTTGTGAAACCTTGTTCTTTGTTATTAACTTATTACAATGTTTATTTTCTCGACATCGGGTGTGTTGTTCATTAATGTGCAAAATTTATGTTGTGTTTTCACCACAACATATTTATGCTGTCTTTCTTATATCCTCGTTATGTTTTTGTTGAGTCTGTTTGCTAAATTATTCATCTGAGTTTGTAACGTAATGCAGCATAAGAACCAAATAGTGAATGAGGAACTTTGGAAAGAGGCACAAACCTATGGAGACATACAGCTGATGCCTTTTGTTGATTACTATGGCCTCATTACCTGGAAAACTCTGGCCATCTGCATCTTTGGGGTAAAATACTTACTTTTCCTCGAGTGCGCAGGGAGATCCCTTCTTTGTCTAATTGATTTTATCTCTTCAACAGACGGAGGTTGTTTCAGCAAAGTTTGTCATGAAGACGGATGATGATGCATTTGTTCGTGTGGATGAAGTGCTAGCTTCCTTACACAGGATAAAAGTGAATCGTGGCTTGCTTTATGGCCTCATTAACTCAGATTCCCGACCTCATCGAAATCCAGACAGCAAATGGTATATCAGCTCTGAGGTAATTTTCAAGCTTTGCCAACGTTGCAAGCTCTGGTATAACTCGGTTTGTTCTCCAAATTAGGAATCAAGTTAATTGATGCGTAGTTTATCATTGATAAAGAGTTAAAGAAATCGTATTCTGCTTCTCACATTTTTTGTTCCATTCGTTGTGTCTGCTGCGCTAATGAAGGAATGGCCCGAAGAGACTTACCCACCTTGGGCACATGGTCCTGGTTATGTGGTATCGAATGACATAGCAAAGACAGTTTCCCAGCGATATAAAAACGGCAGATTAAAGGTAAGAAACAATCTACATTTTGCAACCAGTGTTATCACTATAGCTTCTCCATCAAAATTTTATTTGGATTTGGAATGGTTTCTGTATCTGAAAGAGAATGATGCTTTGTTATGATCAGATGTTTAAGCTGGAAGATGTGGCGATGGGAATCTGGATTGCGGATATGAAAAAGGAAGGTCTGAATGTACGGTATGAGAAGGAAGAGAAGGTCTACAACGAAGGGTGCAAGGACGGGTATGTCGTTGCACATTACCAAGGTCCCAGGGAGATGCTTTGTCTCTGGCAGAAAATTCAAGAAGGGCAAGTTGCTAAATGCTGTGGTGGTGATAGGTAGACACAATTAGATCATTCGTTCCATATTGGAACCTTTTAGTTAAGAGTTTCACGATCAACCTCCGAAGCTGAAGAGAGAAATCTTGGTAGCCCGATCATTTTGTCGAGAGTAGATGACCGAGATTGACCAGAGCCGAGACCCTACCAAGGCACTAACTAAGAGAGGAGATGGTCATCTTAGTAACGAGCTTACTATTACTGTATATTTTAGGTGTGCCATAGGATATAGTATGACAGAGGAGAGGTGGAGAGATCTGTTGATGTGTAGAATCCGCGCAGAGTAGCATTAGCGTTATTTTCGCACTCTTGGCTCTTTCCATTTGCATCCGATACTTTTTTTGCAGTAATTCAATGGAAAATACAGAAAAATAGAGATGTAGCGTTCAACGAAAACAATCTAACCCAGTTTTATATTGCAAAAGAACGATTCCATTCTATCGTTATCAACAAGAGTTGTACACAGAAGCAGATACAAATCTATCTTGGCAAGAAACCATGCTGAGAAATTGCAATCTCGAAAGCCTGAATCCTTTCCCCAGTGGCAAAACCATTGCGATCATACGATGATATTTCGTGTATGTTGAGATTGTTGCAGGCCTTGACGAGCTCCTCGCCCAGGCGTTTAGCAGCTTCCTACAAGATGTAATAACAGAAAGTAGTTTAGAGAGCTTGCGTCACGCAATGCTTGTCTAAATCGTCAGTAGCTGAGATCTCTCCTGCACAAGCTTGGATTACTTACGCTGGTACTACAATCGGGATTCTGACGAATAGATTTCTGCAGGGTGCTTCCGTAAAACAAACAGTTCTTGTTTTGGTCATCTACCAGCATTGCATACAACTGTTTATCTGAACAGAACACCGAAAGCCTCGGTCTCTTAGACGTGCCATTGTACTGAATCAGAAGTGAAAACAAAAAAAACACCATTCCGGGAATCAGAAACTACAACAATGATACTTCTCACGAAACAAGAGTATCAATCTGTTCGAATTCAAACCAACCAAATGAAGAAAGTTAGTTGGGTTCCATCATAAAACCAATTGGCAATATGGAGAGTAGCCCAATCTCTTGGCAATATGGCAATATGGCAATATGGCAATATGGGGAGTAGCCCAACCTCTTATAAGCCCATGCAAGGTCTCTCATTCCATCAATGTAAGATTCATTCTCAACATGCCCCTCACGGGTGGGAAATTTTCAAACCTAACACATGGAGCGCTTGGTCTTTTGACTTCACATGTGGGACATGCTCTGATATCATGAAGAAAATTGGAGTTCCACCGTAAAACCAATTGAAAAAAATGGAGAGTAACCCAACTTCTTATAAGCTCATGCAAGTCCCTCCTCCCATCAATGTGGGGTCTCAACACCAAAACACACATATTCCATCAAATGTATGGAAGACGCCAATGACATACCTTCTTCTGCATTCTTCTGTTACGAGTTTTCGCACTATCCGTCCTGGCATTCCCCCTCGCTCTCATAACTAACGGCTGCGCCGAGAAACCTACATGAAACCCAAGATTTGAGAGTAAACCCGTAGTACAAAGTTGCACGCCCTAGTAGTGTACGTTGGGATCATTCACTTACTTGTTCTTTTCGTCTGCTGCATGGGTTGAATTTGAAAGTTGGAAGTTGCTGAACGGAGACCCAAAAATGCAGAAGTCGAGAACTTGAGAGCAGCAGCATTCGCAAGGGCCATATCACTTTACGTTCGAAAGAAGGTCGTTGAGGAATTTCATCAAACACCTTACGTGCGGCCTTTTCAGGAAGTTTAATTGGAATATTTTAGAAGTTTCGTAGCGGGTGTATTCTGGCGAAGAGGTGCAGTTTCCTGTTTGGCGGCTCTGTGGAATCTGCTTAGTGGAGATTACTCGAGAAATCCAGCAGGCTCAGGAATTAAAAAGAAAATAAATAAAAGTCCAGCTTGAACGTAGCAGAAATGCTTACTGGTAGACGATGTCGTATTAACTACGACGGTGCGTGTCAAATTTGGCTTTTTCTTCTGGGAATTTTGGTCAAAATTTGAGTATACAGGCGACTTTTATTTATTTTTTTCAAAGCGAAAATAAAGATTATGGAGATGAGTCTCTAAGACAAGAAGGAAATTTAATTCATTAAAATTGTCCTTTGTTTTTAACTTTTTTTTATTAATATTAGCATTTGCCTACACACTTTGTGTGTATGAACACATTTTTTTAGAAAATAAGAATGAGAGAACGTGGGGGGGGGGAGCTGGAGGTTTTTGTTTTTAGTTATTTTTTTTTATTTTAAATATTAGAGATATTTTAACATCACCGGTATGTGAGGCTTCAATAAAAAACAGTAAAATTTATACCTGTGAAATTATATTATTGCCCATAATTTTTTTTGTGTGATAGAATACTAAGTTGTCTTTTCACAATCTTTTGGTTGACAAAGAATGTTTCATTAATTAATAAAGATTAAGAGATGAAGGTTCAAAACCATTATTAAAATTTAAGCAAGAGAGAGTTTTGAACCTGAAATGCATGGTGAAATGTCAATATTTTATCTACTAGAATATTAGACAATCACAAACGCATTAACAACAAAGTTTACTTTGTGACAATTATTATTAAAAATTTGAACTGAGTTGCCCTATACAATATATATTCTTATCTTTTCATGGAGATACCATTAATAAAAGATTCTAAAGGCATCCTATGCCCTAAAATATCTCCGAGGATCCTGGTCGGATTTTTTAATTACATATGTTCATTGTACATTGTACGATAAAAAATTATTATAAATTATTATATTTAAAATTAAATATAAACAACACTTGATAAAAATTGACGCACGATATATGATAAACGAATGTGATTGAAGGATCCGTCACAAAAGATTCAGTGAGGATACTCACGCCTAAAATATCCTCCCAAACCGAAAAAAGACACCCTTTTGAAGATGAAGGTAAACCTGAATTTGTCCTGTATGAATATTGGCAATATTTCCTTCTTCCTTTTTTATATATAACAAAAAAATTGTTTGAATAAAAATAACACAAAAAATGCTTAATTTTACAGCACTCGCCACGTGTCGTGCGGCGCTACCTAGTTTCTCTTCACTCTATGACGTTAATACTTATTATTTTTCTCCAGAAGTTCCAGATCCTTCTACGCCCTTCTTTCTTCTTTATGTGGTCACTCTCCCCTCTTAAATCCTCCCCCTCCAAATCCCCAAACCCTCATCCTGCAATTTTCCCAAACCATTCTGATTCTTCGTCTTCCCAAATCCCTCTCAAAGTTTCTCTCTTTTTTCGTTCTCAATCCCGAAAAAACCCAGAGAATTTCATGGATTCCGAAGCTGAGTTCTCTTCCTTCTTCGACTGGCTCACGAGGAGGGATCGAGCCCGAGAGCTCTCTGTGCTCATGCCCTTAATATTAGGTGCAGCCGCGGCGGCCTCCGCCGCGACACCCGACACGGAAGATCCAGATGGAGGAAACCCCGAAAGACGAACCCCGCGGGAGCGAATAGTCCTCATCGACCCTTTCAGCCAACGCGTGGCGGTGATCGAAGGTGGTTCGGACCTGGACTCGCTGCTCCAGGGGCTGGGTGGCAAGGACGGTCAGCCGCCGGCGTCGAAGGCGTCGATCGACGCCATGCCGAGTGTGGAGATTGGCGAGGCGGATGGTGGGTCCGAGTGCGCGATTTGCTTGGAGCAGTTTGAGGTGGACGGCGTGGCGAAGGAGATGCCTTGCAATCACAGGTTTCATGGGGGTTGTATAGAGCAGTGGCTGACGCTTCATGGGTCGTGCCCGGTTTGCAGGTTTACGATGCCGGTTGAGGAGGAGGAGGTGGTAAAGAAGAGCGAAGAAACGGGCGGAGAGGGAAGGAGGGTCGACGGAGAGATTAGGGTCAGGGTGTTTGTTCACAATCGCAGGAGAGCAAGTGAGGGTCCAGATCAAGCCAGTGATGAGGATACGATGCAGAGTTAGGAGAAAATTATGAATTTGTGAACGATTAGGAATATTGTACAGAATCTCAAAGCAAAATTATTTTTATTTTTGTTTCAAAATAAATTTTATATTTTGTTCATAAAGTCTTTTTTTTTTTTTTTTTTTTTTTTTTTTCTTGTTGTGAAATTTGTGAATTTGATTGACTGAAACAAGCGGATTTGGAAACAACTGCTTAGTATTTAGGGATGAATTTCAGACTCTATTTTATATGGCACGCTTTGAGTTTGATTTGGCTGAATTACCGGTGAATTGCTGAGAGTGATTAGAGGAGGCTAAGACTATCTTTAAAGAAGATGTCAAATCTTTAAATGGAATGTCATTTAATCAAATTTGAAGATACGAGTAAGTTATAAATGATATGCCAATCTTATATGTTTTGACATATGAGTTTTTATATATAAAATTGAGTTAGAGAAAATGTGATAATTTTAAATTATTTTATTATATAAGTCCCATTAATGTACTAATTATATATTTGAAAATTTTATTTTAATTAATTTCTTTTAAAATGAATCATACAAATATTATTTATAATAAAAAAAACATATCGGTTAGAAAACAAAAAAAATTTAATATTATCATATCAATTATCAAATTAAACATTTATCTTTTGACATTTCTTTCGAAGATGCTCTAAAATACCGAGAATCGCACTCTAGTCTAACGGAAGGTTGAAACGTTTTTGTGAATTCTTTTGGTCCTTGAAAGAGAGGATTACCATGACAAATCTAATTGGTTTCTTTTTAAAAATATATATATAAATAAGCGGATTACGATAACTACGAATTTGATTAAGCATTTTAGTGGCTTGGAGATTCTCGATATCTTCCAAGCATTAGCAAAGTGGCCATGATAATCTGGTCAACCACCATGGTATTGAATCCTTGCACCACCATGGTAATGAATCCTCACGTTCTTCTTGCACTTGCCTCCGCTCTTCTTCATTATATATACTGACTTCAAACTATCGTTGGAGACCTCTTGCACTTGCCTCAGCTCTTCGACTTCAAGCTATCGTTGGAGACCTCAATCTGAGTTCAAAACTAGCTATGATTTGGCTTATCGTTTGACTCGAGGGTTAAAAGTACGCTACCACCTCATGCTATATGAAACTGCATTAGATTGTCACCCATTGGTGATGGGACACCTCATACATTAAAAAATACACGAAGTCACCATAGAAAATCACAACAATAATCTTTTAACTTTAATTTTATTGGAATAATTATTGATCGCTTAACACATTAAAATGTGTAGTTATGGTCTTTTTTGACAATTCCGTTTGAATTTATGTCAAAATGAATCACGTGCCATGCACATGAAGTTGAATCAAAAGACAAATATAGAAAACAAAATGAAAAGATTGTAACAATGTTTTTTTTTCAATTTTAATCCAAATTGAGAAATGGTTCCTCAACTTTAATCCATTAAGTTTTCAACTTTAACCCTATTAGAGCAATGTTCCCTCAACCTTAACTCAATCATAGCAATGATTCTTTTAACATGACTCATTTTAACTAGAGTTTTGACGGAGTTGACGAAAACAATCATAACTGCACGTTTTGATGAGTTATGGGACCAATAGCTAAGGATTTTTAGATGAGAGACCAATATTTTTTTTTTCGAACAAACGATATCATTTACATTAAGAGGGTGTGAGAGCGGGCTAACTAAGTCTCACAATGAGCTAGCAATAATGTGGTTCAAAATCATCTTTGGCAAGAATCAAATATAAAACCACTCACTTACAAGTGAAAATAAATACAATCAGACCGTAGTACTAAGTGGTAATTCAAGGACCATTTAAAGTCGAGGGATCCCCAACAAAATATCCAAACGAAGACCAAGTTTGGTCTTCCATCAATACACAGGTCTTCATCAAATTGCGGAAGGTAAGGTTGCTGCACCTGCACGGCAAATTTTCATTCGCTGCATCGACACAAAACCTCTTGTCAAGTTGGTTTGCACTCAAGTGTGGTGGATGTAGGCCGCTCCATTAATTTAGCTCGCCCCTACCACTGAAATCGCTTTTGTTTACGAGTGGAGACCGGTGACCCGTCGTTGTTTTACCAAGGCATCAGGATTCGACTTTCGAGTGTCACATAGAGCAACCGTTCGGCCTAGCTACGGACCGGCCACCGTTATAAGTAAAAGTTAACTATACTGCCTTCATTTGACGTGATTATTATATGATTATATGGCTAATACAAGCTCTTGAGGATCAAAGTAAGATCGATCGTCACTAAGGTTTAAGCATTTTCTCTCTCTTGAAGAATCTTGATCCCTTGGTATCTTCCAAGCATTAACAATGTGGCCATTGGATTTGTGCCCGGAGATTCCAGGAAAGTTGACCCGTCAATTACTCTCAATCCCTCGACACCGAAAACCCTGTAATTTTTGTCAACCACTGATCCCATGGTGCAACCTCCATGATAGTGGTAGAAGGTCCTCACATTGTTCTTGCAAAGTTTTCTCAGCTCATCGTCGGTAGACATGGACTCGTTTCTGCGTTTGCCTTCGACCCCAAGAAAGTAAGCAATCGATTTAGACCTTACAATTTGCTCAAGCAACCTACCCAGCTTCACGCATTCTGCCATATCTTTCTCCGTTGCCAGATAGTTGAATGTGACTGAAGGGTTTTTCCGAGGGTCGGTGCTGTTCAGCTCAAGCTGTCCTTCTGATTCTGGGAAGGCAAGTTTGCCTGAGATTAGCATTATTGTTGCGTTGAAGCTGATTGGTAAAATCATTGACCCAACTATGAGTTTGAAGTCGTCTGCAATGGCGATAACTTTGGGAGAATCTGGTGGGAAATTTTTGGGCTTCGCGTCAGCTACGTCAGGTACGAGTGCAATGGAAGGATTATCTTGCATTCCTTTTCCAACGCTCTTTAAGTTCACTGCAACTGGAATGTCGAACTTGTTTAGGTGTTTCTGAGGGCCAATGCCACTTAACAATAGAATTTGAGGGCTGCCTAAAGCACCTGCTGCTAGTATCACATCGCCTGTTGAACTCCTCGAGTTGTTCTGTGTGTTGAGGTAAGCTTCATGGGTTTGCGAGGAACTCCCGTCGCTCTTGATGAATCTTATGCCTCGAACAACTGTCACATTTCTGTTACCTGCAAAATCCATTTAGGAATGTAGCCATAATCAATAGAGTTAATTTTCCGACGTGGGATTCAGACTCTCAAAAGTTTCATGCTTACCTTTTTTATGAAAGATTATGCTTGTCACAGTTGCATTCAAAAGAAGTGTGATGTTGTTCGGATTCCCTGCCATTAGAAGATCAGCTGAGTTGTGTCTTCGCCCCTGTTCATCATAAATAGTCGCGCCAATCTTTGTTCCCTCGATGTGATCCAAACTAAAACCATTGTAAGGGAAAATCCCTGCCTCAAGAAGGCTAAGCTCAGCAACATAGGGCCACGGGGTTAGTTTTGGTTTAAAGGCATTTCTAGACTCCACCCATTTATAAGCGTCCGATACGATCTGCTTATTCCACCCAACCCTTTTGACATAATCCTCACTTGCTCTGCTGAAAAACCCGCCGTTGATAGCCGATCCTCCTCCTAGAACTCTTCCTCGGAGATTGGAAACCCCGTCCTTGGAGACGAAGCTTTGTGCAACTGATGTGTACTCGTCAGTTTGGACCAATGAGAGCCCGAAGTTCTTGTTTTCCATGATCAAGGGATTTTCATACGGAGAGCCACCTCGCTCAACCAAGAGCACCGAGAATTTCTCAGACAGGGTTGCGGCTAGGGGACAGCCGGCGGTGCCTCCTCCAACAATAATGTAATCGAAGGACTTGCCCGAGACTTGATTGACATCTGAAGTAGTCTTACGAGGGAGTGTTTGTCCTGCCATTAGGAAGAAATCAGAATAGATCCTAAATTCTCAACATTTAAAGCTACAAAATGGCATTTTATAGGCCGTTTGGTAACCATTTCATTTTTCAATTTCACTAATCAAACATCTAATCAAACAAAATCCATCGCTTGGCTAAAAAATAAAAATATAAAATAGTTATCGAATGGGATTTAAAATTAATTAAACAGGAAGGTAATTAGAGGACATAGCATACCTTGAATGCATGAACAACACAGGGCCAGATGAACAAACAGGAGGAACAGATACAATGAAAACCCCATTGCCATGAATGCTCTCTCTCTCAAGCTTATCTTCTACTAACATATTTTCTGGATTAATAGGCAAAGTCAATTATCTGTTACCAGCTAATTGCTATTAAATTAATTAAACCAATAGACCAGTTCTCCCATTTTTATGCATTAACAATTCAGTCTCCGTTGGCTGCACCAACACAAAGTCTGCAGTTAACACGATTATTTGTTCTATATTTTATTCCTAACTCAAGTTCTTCGTGTTCGTTTGTTTTTGCTCGGTGTTTTGGTATTTGCTTTGTGGTTGGTTGGTTTGTTTGGTTTATCAGAGTCCACTGTTAACAAGATGCGTTTGTACAAGAAAATCTTAATTTGACATGATTAGTATGGCTGAAAGTACAAGTTGATGAAGTTGGATCTAGGATCGATCTTTCGGGTTTAAGCATTTTCTCTTTCTTGAAGAACCTTCATCCCTTGGTATCTTCCAAGCATTAACAAAGTGGCCATTGGATTTGTACCTGGTGATTCGAAAAATGTTGATCCATCAACTACTCTGAGTCCCTTAACTCCGTAAACCCTGTAATCCTTGTCAACCACTGATCCCATGGTGCAACCTCCATGGTAGTGAAAGAATGTAATCACATTCTTCGTGCAAAGTTTTCTCAACTCATCTTCCGTAGACATCAACTTGTCTTTTGGCTTGCGTTCGATCCCCAGGAAGAATGCAATCGATTCAGACCTTACCACTCGCTCAAGCAACTGAGCCAGCTTCAAACATTGTGCCAAATCTTTCTCCTTTGCTAGATAGTTGAATGTGACTGAAGGGTTTTCTCTGGGGTCAGTGCTGTTCAGCTCAAGCTTTCCTTCTGATTCTGGAAAGGCGAGTTTCGCAGCTATTGGCATTATTGTTGCATTGGAGCTGACAGGTAAAATTCCTGCCTCAATTATGATCTTGAAGTCATCTGCTATACCGACAACTTTTGGAGGTTCTGGTGGGAAATTTTTCGGGGTAGGGTCAGCTAAGAGTGCAATGCCAGGATTGTCTTTCATTCCTTTTCCGACAGCCTCTAGGTCGAGAACTAGTTGGATGTTGAAGTTGTTTAGGTGTTGATGAGGGCCAATACCACTTAACAATAGAATCTGAGGGCTGCCTAAGGCCCCTGCTGCTAGTATCACATCACCCCCTGAGCATGAATTCTCTGGCTGGTTGAGGTGAGCTTCATAAATTTCGCTTGAGTTTCCGTTGCTCTTGATGAATCTTATGCCTCTAGCCATTGTCTCATTTCTGTCACCTGCAAAATCATTTAGAAATTCAGCTGAAAATAGGGTTATCGGTTAAGGAAAGTGATCTTTGTGCTCCTCCTTTCTCCTTCTGCACTGCTTTCCTTGTTTCCATCGGTTACTTATCTTTTGACGTATCCAATCTATAAAAAATGAGGGGACTACAGGCTAGTGGGGTGCGGAAGTCACTCCCCGCAAAGGAATACTACACGTTTAAGGCTTACCTCTTTCATGAAAGATGACATTAGTAACAGTTGCATTCAGAAGAACTGTGATATGGTTTGGATTTCCTGCCTCAAGAAGATCAGCGGAGGTGTGTCTTCGTCCCTGTTCATCAAACACGCTCGCACCGATCTTTGTTCCCTCAATGTGATCCAAACTAAAACCATTGTAAGGGAAAACCCCTGCCTCAAGAAAGCTAAACTCAGCAGCATACTGCCATGGGGTCAGTTCGGGTTTAAAAACGATTCTAGATTCGACCCATTGATAAGCATTTGTTACCATCTCCTTATCCCACCCAACCTTTTCGACAAAATCCTCACTTGCTCTGCTGTAAAACCCGCCATTTATAGCAGATCCTCCTCCTAGAACTCTGCCTCTGAGATTTCTCACACCGTCGTTGGACACAAAGCTTTGTGCAACTGATGTATATTGATCAGTTCGGAGCAATGAGAACCCATAGTACTTTGTATCCAGCACCAAGGGATCTCCATATGGAGAGCCGCCTCGTTCCACCAAGAGCACTGAGAATTTCTCAGACAGGGTTGCAGCTAGGGGACAGCCGGCAGTGCCTCCTCCAATGACAATGTAATCGAAGGACTTGCCCGAAGCTTCATTGACATCTGAAGTTATATGGGGGAGTGTTTGCCCTGCAATTTCGAAAACCGACATCAATGCAGAACATTCAAGCTTCTAAAATGAGATGTTACTAAAAGTAAATAGGGTTAGTAACAAACCTTGAATCCATGAAGAACACAAAACCAAGCTTACAAATAGGAGGAATAGATGGAATAAAACGCTCATTGCCTTGAATAGTTAGTGTGTAGCATTAGAAACTCCAAGATTGGTGCTTTCATATAAAAGGATTAGGAAGATGAAGGTATGAATTATTTATTGAAGTTTAACTACTTTATGTTGCTCAACTGAACGGCTAGATTTAAACGTTTCAGATGAAACTTTCATATCTGACGGTCTGAAGGATCCCGCCGGGCAATGAATTCCATACATTGATGCATTCTCGAGTTTTCGTAGTTTATTGTCGTGTGATGGGACATATAAATGAGTGAGTTCTTAGGCATTGATTAGCTAACATGCGCATGCTTAGTTCATAATTTTCTTTTCCATGATGATTTCTCACCCTCCTCCTCTGCTTGTCCCTCCACAAACATTGAAAAGAAATATTTCTAGTGATTGACATGATTAACATCAAGTCATGCGACTTGCACCTACAAAAGTAGGGAATCATATACATAACATTCTCTACCTTCTTTAGGCGAATTAGCTTAATCAGATCTCAGAAGCATTAAGCAATAAGCAGTTTCCATCTGGCATTCAAACGCGCACATTTGTGACACACATGCGAGAGTGCGAGAGTGCGATAGTGAGAACGAGAAAGAGATGTATCCCCACAATATATTACACCTTCTTTTGACATGAATATACTTTCAAAAGTGCCATACATATATAACAGTGTACATACATGTATATAAACAAAAGATTAGGACTGGAGAGAATTAAGTTTGCTCCATAAACTATATATCACTAAACCAGATGGCTCCAAGGCATTTGAAGAATCAGATTCCCTTGCAGTTCAAGTCTATTGCTTTCGGTCCCGAATCAATGTTGTCACTCTGATATTTTCTATTCAGATCAATTGTAGCCAACAATCCAGACTTTCTCAGATTGTTTCCACCTTTATCTCGTTGTGTTTGTGTCCTTTTAGCAACTGGTTGCTCCACAGATACACCTTCAGAAATCGGACTGCCGCTTCTCTTCCTCCCAAAAACATGATTATTTGCAACATTATTCCACGCCTTATTGTCCGGGTGAATGTCCATTAATGGTAGTTCAACACAGGTGGCATTAGAATTTTCAGGGAGCTTCTCGTCCTCCCTTCCTGAACGTTCGGAAGATGTCAAGGAACTCTCCATGGAGCCTCTCATTTGCTTCCGCTCCACGTCTTTTAGGGTTGGAGTTCCTGTTTCCGTTAACTCTGAGAACGAAGAACTCGGACATCCATTGTTAACCATTGAAACTAGCTGAGTGAGTTCAGCCTTTGCAAGTTCTACTCCCACTGAAGAAGAAGTATACCCTGAAAGAGTTTCTTGTGCTTTCTTCAACACCGATTGTAAATACTTCCCTTGAGCTTCAATTCTCAGCTGAAGATGTCTCTGCACCTGACAACAAAAACCGGGTTTATTGGCAAGTTATGGTACTCTTTCAATCTTTTTATGAACCGAGAATGGTAAAGATGGTATTCGTTTATCGTTTTTACCTCAATTTGTTCATGAAGCTGCCTCTGCACTTCCATTTGCAACTGGAGAGACCGAGCTATCTGCAAGCTTCTGATATAAACATAACAACACTTAATTAATAGGGAGCTCTTTGTGGTGTCATTTTTCCATCTAAATTAATCGAAGAGATTGGGATCTATTTCTAACTATATTACTCATTAATCTGACTGTGATCTTCATCGCTGATATCCGCACCGAAATGACCATCACTGCTCTGAAGCTCCTTGTAATCTGCATCAAAGGAGAGGACAAATATTAAGAATCCACAAGGATTAAAGAATGAACACCAAATGATGATCCTCTATAGTTTTCGGAATCTAATGTGATGGACTCACCTTCTTGCCTAATGTCAGCGCAGTTTTCGGATTGTTGGCTTTTCCCTAGCCTGTATTTCTGCACAAGACCACAAAAGGAGTTTTAGAATTACGCTTTTTCGATCATGATCTGGACAAAGATTAGATGTGACAAAACTCGAGAGAGAAAATGCCTGTAAGTGGCTCTTTAGGTGGTACAAAGTGAGTCCATGAATTCCCATCATCCTCATCAAACTCTTTGGTGTGGCCTCTGCCCATATATACACACACACATTAGAACTTTGTATTGTATTGTATACGATACTAAAAATAGGGATTAGGCGAGGTCAGCTCCTAAAGAAGAGGGGACATGACCTACACTTCTAGGAGCCACCCGCCCTTCCCCCTACATCATCAAGGTCATATACTCACTGTCTGCCCCTCCGAGCTGATTAACAGCCTCGACGAATCGCTGATGAAGCTCTGGAGTCCACTTTAGCCGCGGCTTCGCGTCGGTGGACAAAACCAAATTCATGTTCTGATTTTGCATATTCTGCAGAACCATTTTTGTGGTGGTGGAGGTGGATGAGAGATGGAGACAGCAGACTGCAGGAACATAAATATATAATGGTGGACTGCTTTGTATGATCCAAGCTATAAGGGAAGGGGGTTGGTCTTTATAATTTGGGAGGGGAGTAGTTGTGGGGGTGTCCTATATTCTCACTCCATATCTGGAAACATAAGTGGGGTTATGTTGGAGGCAGAGAATATATGCCATGAGCTGTAGTGCCTCCTTTCCTCCATCTCTCTCTCTCTCTCATTTCATACCAACTTTTTTAGAAAAATAATTTTATAAAATTATATATTTTTCTTGCTTCTTTTGACTTGAAAGAGGTAGAGAGAATCTCTGATGCAGCAAAAACACAGAGAGTTCAATTTGTGAGTCTTAAAAAGGAGAGAAAGGAGGAAAAGTGTAGGGTTTGTTTTTCTCTCTCTAGATTCTCTCTCTAATGCATGATTCCCTGATGAATAAGGAACCCCACCATGATGAATAATGGTGTGAGAAGCAATGCAGTGCAGCTAAATAATAATAAATAATAATAATTGAGATATTTTTTTTTTCTTTTGGTGATTGAAAGGGAAATGGGGATTTCTTTTCTTTTTTAATATTTCTTTCCCATTTCTTTTAGTTTTTTTTATTTTTTGGGTATTTCTTTTCGTGAGGAAGGAGGTGGTGTGTGATTGTCAGATTCTTTTGTTCTTTGTAAGGATGGAGGAATCAAAGAATCTAACGTTGGATTTTGGGACCCCAAACCCTAACGTATTTTTTCTCCTAAAGAAGTATTCCCACATAAAGTGAATCAAGTCACACCAATTTTATTGAAATAAGAGACATGTATGCGTAATCATCAGAACTCTGTGTATAACTTTCCGTTTAAGATGGTTAAGACGGAGACAATATCTTACTAAATTGATCGAAATATGATAATGTGGTAGTTTTTTGTATCTGTAACATTATCCAAATATAGGGGAGGGGAATCCAGGGTGCCAACTATAAGGGTTAATATATAGGACTAAATGCCACATGAGGTTACATCAATCAATGGTTCCTGCCTTGGATGTATCAGAGACGGGGAATCAGAATATAATTGCATCAAATACGACGATTACGTCCAAAAATCAATGTTCCATGAAAATACATGAATCATAATTGCACTTGTTTTTCTCACGATACGTCAAATTACTTTAATATAGGGCGGTGGAGAATTCAAACTCGGATGCGAAAGATGAACGTTGAATTAGTATTGTTATGGTATGAAGCAACACAACTCCTCTCTCTCTCTCTCTGATTTCTCTCTCTAAACAAATGGAAATGACATAAAGGGCACTCACCAGGGCTCTCTCTCTCTGCACAAAAGTCTCAAAAAGAAATATATTCCAATGGGATTGTTAGCTTTAAATCTGTAATCCATATCCAAAACCAACTGAATATAAAGAAAATTTTGATCACAAAAGAGAAAAAGAAAAGAGAAAAGGAGGCCACAAATCACAGTGGCCAACAACAAATCGTAAAAGTCAATCGGAATCGGATTGATCTCGGGATTTCTTGGGTTGTGGTCAAGAGTTTGATCACGGGAATCAAAATCCAATGATTATTCATCTTCCAAAGACTTGCCATCCCAGTGCTTAACATTCACTTGCTCTGCCTGCTGCATACATAAACAAATGCCCCAGGATTCAAAGTTCAAGTACTAATTTAAGTATTTCTTAACACATTAACGATATCAACAAACTAGAGGCTGCACCGTCGAGACTGTTCAAGCATTTGATCCTAAAACCGTTAGCATGGGGGAAACATTTTCACTAATCAGGTTGTTACTCTCATCATTCCTTCAGCTAAAATGGTTAGTCGAAAGACAGCACCGGTGGCGGTGGGACCCACAAGAGGCTGGGTCTAGTATCATGGTGGTGGTGGAGGGTTCTTCCTGAGCAAGCATTGGCCTCTCCTCCATTGGACTAACATATCCCTAGTGGGAAGCTCATAGTTCACGTTCAAAGAAAGGAATATAATTATTGACAAGTTCTTATGGTAGTGTGGCCCGAATGTTTGAAAACCAAGAAAAGAAGCAAGAGTTATTGACGTACCTTTCTCTTTAACCAGCTGCTGTACTTGAAGCTCTTTTCGTCGCTTTAATATATTCCATAACAGGTAAAGGAGATTCTAGGACGATGCCAAATGGCCCCTGGTATTTTTCCGTCAGGAGGTGAAGGTCCAGTGAATCATAAAGTCACACAAACAAAGGTGCCTCTCACTCTCTCAGCAATTATTATTCTTCAAGGGACCCCGTTACTGGAGATCTCACAATACAAAAGCATGGAGATAGAAGATGAGAAGAATATGGCCTCAGGAATCAAGAAAAGTGAAACAAAAGGAACCTGTCAAAATCGCACCAAAAGCATACCATAAATAATTGTTGGTAATATTGCGTCAAAATCACAATTGCTTACTGAAAATGACGTGAGCATTATGTCACCGATCAATTTCTTTCTGAAACACACAAGTCCATGGTTATGGGCTTCATCTTTGTATATAAATGACAACTTGTATACTTTTCTTGCACCTCAACTTTTCAAAGGGTTATAGTGAAGGGCAGGAGAACACCCACTCCCCAAAATCAAAGAACAGTTACATTAATATACGAGCATGTTCGCAAAGCGTCTTCATGCACATTGCAACTGGTGTCAATGTCCTTGTTTTTACATGGATTCTACACGAACAAATCAACAACAACAACAACAAAGCCTTATCCCACTAATGGGGTTGGCTATTTGAATCCTAGAACACCACTGCACTCGGTTTTGTAATCAGAGAAAAACACTACACCTAAAAAATTGACTCCTTTCTTCCAGATGAAAAGGAGGGCTATA